AGGTATAGTTTGGGAAATTCTTACCGGATTTACAGATACGAACTGCGTACATGTTTGACCAAATAAACTAAGACAGATTTAGTTTATGATACACATTACAAGAGTACAACAGTTAATAATTATTTTAGTATAACTATTTCTACTCTACAAGACATACCTTGAATTCAAGTACAAAGGAACATTACGTTTTTCATATTATTACTCGTAAAGTTGTTACGTAGTTGGGAGACACGTCCTTGGGTGCTTACAGCATTAACTAAGTGGAGGACTACCCTTATGAACCAGAGTCTCCTGGAGGGAGAACGTGGCATTTCTGTATAGATCTATACGAGACTGACTATCCCGCACATGGCTGCTAGCTACAGTAGGACCTGTGGGTCTATGGCTGACAAATGTCATAAAGGATACCGGCGTCCGTTTCACGTCATATCAAGTTTAAGTATGGTCATAAAACTCGCCAATAGTACAGAATATTTACGTAATAATACACTTCTCATGAACAATTGCTTTAACAACATAAGTATGAACAATACTTATGAATCATCGTTTCAAAAACATTAAAAGGAACAAAACAAATACAAGGAAAAATAAGGGATTTTTCCAGTTAAACTTCAATACCTTACATATTGGTGGTAGCCAAGGTTTTCAAACAAGAACTTACATTATAGTAGTAACGAAACATACAAACTATCACGTCTCTTACACTATAAAGGACACAGTAACAAGCATTCATGGTTAGTTCTATAACCCCTTAGTTTATACATCAGGGTTACTTATAAAGAATATTCGATAGATCGTGAAGTATGTGGCTTCCACCTCATTTCATGTTCCTCGTTTGGCTGGGGGCTTAGGGAAGATCCACTAATCCACTGTCTGTTTGATGTTGGTTTATATGTGACTAGTATGAACTACGTAGTGATAGAAGGGAAATGGTTTCTTCCTACTTTTATTTAAGAAAATATTAGATTGTCTGGAAAAGCAAACAAACAGTTATACAAATTCAGTGCCTATTTTTCATTACAAAAACATGCTTATGAACTCACCAGTTTTATGCTGATATGTTTTCAAAATCGCTTGTATTCTCAGGACAACAATAGACAGGTACCCTTGCCAGCTTTTGGAGAAGACGGAGCATTTTGGAGTCTCGTCTTTGTCTTTTGCTACTTTTGACGTATACAAATCTTATATCGAAACAATGTAAATATTCATATTATAATGTAATGGTTGTGTTTACTATCATTACTATGATGCAATTGTTGTGATACTACATATGACGTCATCCACCTCCGAACGTTTCCACCGTTCGTTTGACGGTTCAGGGGTGTGACACTGTTGAATTTGACCAGGAGTAAAATAGTCATTTTACCCTAACAATAGTTATCAATTTCTAACTAAGTGTCATTATGGAATTTATAGCATATTATCTGCATTTTACATTATATGATATTACGTAATTATTACATGCTTATACTAGCTCCTTCATTGTTTTGGGTACCAAAAACTTGTCTCTTAGGATATAATTTCCCAACTGTCCCCAATTAGGTGGGAGCCTGACAGTTGGGGACTGATCTAATCCTATAATGAACGTCCCGGGTTAAAATGTTAGGCATGATACTTTGATCGTTGGTGTTCAACAATTTACCTCTTACTTGATGGACACAGGCGCTGAGATATGAAACGCTGGCTTGTTTGTTGATTTTGGAGCCTCTATGCAAAAAGTAAATATACACCTATTAAATACAACTTTTTTAAATATATAAGCAAAATTCATTAATACTTTAATAATTGTTATACCAATAATATTAAAAAAAATAAACACTCTAAGGCTGGAGGGAGTAGTCCCACACTCTCTCATGAAACCGTAGTGACACGTAGATGTCACGTCACCATTTACCACAAAAGCGTGGTTTCGTACCACACAAGGAGTGGTGCCACACGTTGATTTTTTTTAATTAAATAAAAACTATATTTTTAATAAAAACCATTCATTTCAGTACTTCAAAATAAAAATAACATTACATTCCATTGCCTAAATAAAAATCCTACAAACTTCAAAAGAAAGAAAGAAAAACTAGAAATTTTAAACCTACAAACTTAAAACAACATACATTAAACGATTAAAAATAAACACACTATATGAAGTCGTCCTCCGAGAGCTATCTTCCGGATCATCATCCGGATCCAAATTGAGGTTAGTGTGTTGAATCCCGTAAATGTGTTCCACCAAGTCCATACGAAGATTGTGAAATGTTTCATTGCAACGAACTTCTATTCTCTTTTCAATGTACTCATCGACCCTAATTTCTATTGTTTGTGTTGCGGGAATGGTTTCCACTTCATCATACTCACATATTGTTCTTCCTTCATTTTAGATAATCATATTAGGCAGTATTATACATGCATACATGACTTCATGCATTTTTTCCTCACTTAAAAAAATTGATGGTTTTTCAATATAAACCAACGTTTCTTGAGAGCTCCAAAAACCCGCTCGACATCCTTCGTAGCTCTTCTTGAGGTTTCTTGATTTTTTTTTCTAACGAGTATTATTCGGACACGTAAACGACTTAACAAAAACTGCATATATACTCAAGATAGATCTCATCAAGTAGATAATAACCATATTTATATGGTGTTCCACGCAATTTAAAAGAAGAATATGGTGCATGTTCGTCGTATATGTTATTAAATATAGGTGAACGATTAAGAACGTTAATTTCGTTAAGGGATCTAGGAGAACAAAAAAAACATGTCTAATCCACTGATCCTATAATGTCACCGCTTCAAGTATGATCGTTGGATGCCCATGATCACCTCGGGTAAATTAACATTGGTATGAGGCAGGGCAATTTTTTCATGTCCAATGTAGACAATCTAAACATCCTAACATTTTAGGAAAGCCATGTAAGCTAGTATGATGAGATTGCAATTTTATGATGTCATTGCATGTAGGCTTACTTAAATATTTTGGACCATAAAACTGAATAATAATTTTGCAAAAATAGTGTAGACTATCCCGTGCAACTGACATCCTAAAACTCTCATCCAACGTATCAGGAGGGATGAAATATGCTAATTGACGAAGTGCCACTGTACATTTTTGTAAAGGGGTGAAACCGGGTGTACCTCTAGCATCGGACCGTTGCTCGAAAAAATCACACTCCCTCGTTAGATCTTCGACTATACGTTCATACAATAGTTTGAACATTCTGAAGCGTCTTTTAAAGTAGTATCCTTGAAAAGTGACATTTTCTTGATAGTAGTCTTGTATCAGAAATTGGTTTGCATCTTCACGATTTCTACAAATAAATCTGCGGGTTCTCTGTTCAACACTGTCAGATGCCTACTGCATGCCATTTCATATGTTTGTTCTGCAAATTTAACAGCAGCGACAGAAACATCGAACATAACATCAAATTCTTCAGAAGAATTGGACGAAGACATTTGTTTGATTTTTTTGAGAGGTAATGTAGTGTGTGTGTGTATGTATATATATATATATATATATATATATATATATATATATATATATATATATATATATATATATATATATATATATATATATAGGGTTGAAAGGTTTAAATAGGTGTTAAAGGTTAAAAGAAAGAAAAAAAATTAAAAACCCAATTTATGACCGTTTGCAACGATCAAATGTGTTGACCAATCAAACTCATGCGTCGAACTCGAGCGCTCCCTCCGAAAGCCGCATTGCAGTCTCAACCGTACCTAGACCGCACACAGTGGTAGTGTTTGTGCTTATGTGGCAATGAGAGTACGGTCCAGGCTGTACCCACTCCGTCTGTCCTAAATCATGAGACCCTAAAATGTTAATTAATATCAAGATCCTAGGTTCCTAAATTAGCGACAACGGCGAAGTACAGCGGCGATATATCGATAGACTTTGTAGTGTCCTATAATGGAGCCCAATAATTTTGCCATTGTAATCCCTCCGGCCCCTTTCTAGCTTTTAAGGATGTTAGTCAAAAAGAAAAAAAGAGGCTTATTAAAGATGGTGGTCGCTTTCATCGATGATTAAGGATTTTTTTAAAGGAAAACTTAAAGTACATGTGTTCAATGCACAAATTGTTCGGTATCGACTTGTACATCTACGGTTTCATATGACCCTTAAGGAAAAAAAATTCATTTTTTTTTAAATCGATTCAATAGCATTAGACTTTTTTTATTTTGTATTCGTATAATTTTTTTCTTTAAAAAAAAAAAAGGAAACCGTAGGTTTTTTGAAAACGTACGGTGTACAATCATTTACTGCACAATTTGTGCAGTAAACACTTGTACACCGTAGGTTTCCCAAAAAATACGATTTTTTTTTATTTTTTATTTACTTATTTTTTAATAAAAAACTTTTATAACTAATAAACATTTGTATCCCGTTGTATGTATCTTATGATTTTTTGTTGGGAAAAAAAATCGTAGGTTTCCTAAAACCTATGGTTTTATATATATATATATATATATATATATATATATATATATATATATATATATATATATTTCATTTTAAAAAAAATAAAACATTTTTAAACGTATTTTGAAGGATTATATCCCTTTGTATGTATGTTATGATTCAATGTTTGCATGTTAAAAATGATGTTATTTTCTATGTCTCAATTATAGCCTACAATAGCAATGTACTATCGATTTGAAAATGTTTTTATGTTTATAATGTGTAGATACTTTGAAGTATACTATATTGATAAAATAACATTGTGTTTTGGTACTTTCGGGTTTGTTATAAAATATGTTATTGTCACACCATGTTCAAAGTACAATGCTAAATTTGCTATATGAGTAGTATAGAAAATACAAAAAATGTAGTCAATTAATTTCCTTTGTTATTTTATACAAAGTAAATAGAATATATGGAATGATTAAGTCTTATATTGTGTGCTTTTTCTAATTGTTTATCAGTTTTTTTTCTTTTATAAAAATTTATTTAACCTTAATATTCATTTAATTTGTAGCTTCCAAACAAAACGATGATGGGTCACTTATCTGTCAAAGCTTCACGCCATAAATTGCATGAAGTTTTGGGTCGCTTGAATGGACCTGTGCGAGATCTTTTTTCAACAACTAACTTCGGTTACTTGTTGGACCTACCAGCTCAGTCCGGAGACGTACTTCTTATTCGTGGGCTGTTGCTGCATATGTTGCATCCTACTGCTAAAACGGACGTCGCTGAACGTCTATATTTTAGGTTTTCTAGACGTACACTGTCATTTGGGCTGGAGGAGTTTTGTCTTGTGGCTAGATTTTACATGGGTTGGTGTCCTACATCAAGGATCAAATTTTCAACCATGTATAAACACGGATATGGTGTAAATACATTTCGGTCTAGAGTCTTCCCATATCGCACAGACACTTCTTTAGTTGTAGAAGATTTAGAGCTCATTATCTTGAATCAACGGTTCAATGACATATCGGCTCATGACGGTGTCCGTGCCATTTTGCTATATATCCTTAATCAAGGTTTTTTTTGGGAAAGGAGCTTAATGATAACCTGGATAATCTGGATCAATGGAATAGGTTTTTTTGGGAAAGGAGCTTAATCAAGGAATTTTTGTGGGTGGTGGATAGCCTGGATCAATGAAATAGGTATTTGTCAATTTAATATTTATAATAAAATACTAATTTTTATACGTTTAACTAATACGTTTTTCTTATAATATAGGTTCTCGTAGGGGAGTTATCTATGAACTAAAACATACCCTAGATTGTCGGGTATGTTTAAGAAACGTGAGGATCATATGTCCAACCATCCAACAAAAGTGATTGTGTACACACTATCAGGTTTTGTTATTCCTTTGAAAGTATATTTAAATAATTAAAAATATATTTAATAATTTATCGTTTTTTTTTTTAAATTTTAGTTAGTGCTAACACTTATAAATTAACGTATATTTATTACAAGATATGGATATGGAAGATGTTCCCAATAATTCGGGGAAATGTTGCGATACGACGCAATTATTTATATCCTCGTATATTGCATTAGTTTCATATTAGGAGGTTAACTTGGGCGAACGTTTGCGATATTTTTGATGTTGATCAGGACGAGGCGCATCAACCAAAAAAAAAGATTGTAACATCGGGATTCCCAGGTATATTATTTTATTCATTTATTTTGGAGTTTGTGGAGGGACTCGGCGAGTTGGTGCTTAGACTCGCCGAGTAGGCTCGCGGATTCTCATCTGGGTTCACAACTGGACTCGAAGAGTCCATGAGTAGACTCGGCGAGTCCATGCTATTTAATGAAACCGTAATTTCCCGAGTTTGGGACCTATTTAAAGGCCCTTAGGGCCGTCATTTGTAGCTACCAAACCCCAGAGAGAAACCCTAAGAGATCTAGAGCGATTGTGAGGAAGGAGAGGCCACTTTTGATCATTTTGTTGGTGTGATTGCGGGAAGGAGGTGACCAAGGCAAGAGGAGGCTGAAGGAGGAGCGGTTCTGGTGATTTCAGAGTTTAGAGACTTCATCTTGAGGTATTTATTCGGACCTTCTTCAGATTTGGTGTTGATTCTTAGAGTTAGGGTTTTTCTAACCCCTTTAGAGAATGGATATGTGGAGCAATTGGTCCCTTCTCGAGTTTATGCTTTGGATCTGGACTCAAAGAGGTCCAGAGACCTTAACCCTTGGAACTTTATGGATTATTTTGGGAGCCATGAACTTAGGATGTTATTTTTGGGGCTAAATCACCAAGTGGAACCTTTTAGACGTCCCATGAGTGTCAAGATTCGAGCTTTACATGTTTATCAGGCTTGGGAAGGTCAAATCTATGGACCAAAGGAATAGATCCGACCTCAGGAGGTCAATTGAGTTTGTGCATGGCATTAACTCGCCGAGTCCGAGGGCAGACTCGGCGAGTAGGGTTAGGGTTTCCCGTAAATCTCTCAGCGAGTAGACCCGCCGAGTTGGGGGAATAAGTCAGTGAGTCAGAGAGGGATTAGAGGACTGGAGTTCAAGGCGGAACTCACCGATATATTCTTGAGACTCGACGAGTTGATTCGGGGTAGCCCCGCGATTCATGCCAGGTGTGACTCGTCGAGCAAGGGGAATGACTCGACATGCCAAGCGAGGCTAGGGAGTTAGTGGACACGTGTAGAATCGCCGAGTTGCCCAAGTGCACTCGACGAGTCGGGTCAAAGTTTAACCGTTGACTTTGGTTGACTTTTAGGGTTTCGTCAACAATGAGGGCCTTTAAGCCAAAGGAGGGGTAAAATGGTCTTTTACCCTTCTGAGGGTGCCAAGAGAAGGTTGAGTCTAGTCCTGAGAGTTATATTTATGATAGTAATACTTTATGTGATTAGGTGGAGGCTAGATCGTATTTCTACGGAGTCAGAGATTTACCGAGACATTTGAGGTGAGTCTTCTCACTATACTTTACCTTGAGTGGTAATTAGAGTCATGTGATAGAGTTATTGTATGCTATTTATGTGATGTGTTGCACTACGTTATTTCTGTGTGATTTATGCCATGTGTATACCAGAGTTAGAACTGGAAGGTTGACAGAGTTAGGACCATAGGGTCCATAGAGTTAGGGCCCAAGGGCCAACAGAGTTATAGCCTCGAGTGGCTAGTATGTGTTATGTGTGGTATTTTGGGGAACTCGCTAAGCTTTATGCTTACAGTGTTATGTGTTATGTGTTTCAGGTACCAGTGATGATCGCAGGAAGGCGCCGGCATGATTCGTACACACGCATGAGATTTATGTATTTTGATAGTGGGAAACAATTTTGTGAAACAAAGTTATGATACAATGGGATTTTGTTAATAAATGTGTTTGGAAAATATGTTTTAAAAGGCTAAAATTTGTTTTAAATTTTATGGTGTTACAAAGATAATTGCCTCAGATGCCGAGTCCTCCACTCCACATTATTGGTCATATATTACTAGTTTGAATTGTGAATCGTCTGAAGTCCTTTCTTCTGTACGCTACAACATTAGAAATGATGTAAGTAAATTTGTAAAAGCAGAATCTAGTATAATAAAAATTTTCTACTAGTGTTGATATATGAAATAATTTATGTAGCGGACATCTTCGTCTCATACATCCTGTGGAAACAGCCAATCTTCCAAGTCTACCGAGGGAACTCATACGGTGAGAATTAACAAAAAAACCGCGCGAGAAATAATGGCAAGACTTGAATCTTTGGAGGAAAAATCTGATTATTGAAAAATAAAGGTGGAACTCGAGACGGTGATGATTTGGAAGACTTTTTTAACAAAGCTTTTGAGGTATTACTATCAATTTAAATATATATGATGTATTATTTAATTTTTTAACGAAACTTTTTATTAATTATTTTTTCTTTAAATGTAGGGGAATGATAATGTAGGTGGTAGTCTACAAAAATTAAATCGAGTAAACGAGGATGAAGATGTTGATAATCCACTATTGTTTAACGAAGCTTTTTATTAATTATTATTTTTTGTATATTAAACTTTTTATTTTATTATAGTATATTAAAAAATAATATTTTTTAGTAGAAGAAGAAGAAAAAGAAGGTTGTTGCTAGCGAGATTGTGGATGCAGAAAATCAGATACCGGGGCATCCTGTTGTGAAACAAGGTCGTCCGGTTAGTCAATTGAAACATTCTCAACATCTTAGCCCTCCATACGTTTCGGTAAGTATGTTAAAAATCATATTTACTATAATTTTATTACTATATGGATAGTTATTGACTACGTATATAATATAGGTTCAAAATGCCCTCCGATATCGTACAGGTGGGGTAATACACAACGAAACACCCCCCCCCCCCCCCATTTTTCAACGATCCCTCAGCACTTTTATTGGAGCTGTATGTCAATCAAGGTTGTAACGCCCCTGCTCTATACATGGGAAACAAACCGGCTGTTTTTTTGAAACATCAGTTATACAATGAAAAAATGGAAGCAAAGTTTTGGGATTTGCTTTTTTATGCAAGTGAATTGGGATTTTTAGATGAAGCGGTATGAAGACATTCCTTTATATTTAAAATTTATATAATTTATCAGCTACTTATGTTTAAATTAAATTTAAATGCAACATGTTGACATATGGGGAAGGATTTTGAATGAGCGGAGACCGAACGATGCTCGATGGATAATCATGCCATTGTCATTTTTTGGTGCATTTGAGATGTTTCAGTGGGCAGGAAGTGCAACGGGAAATCCGTTTGACCCATTGGATGGATGTAAATCTTGGCTAGAAGTTGACAGTGTAAGTAAAGAAATAATATATATATATATATATATATATATATATATATATATATATATATATATATATATATATATATATATATTATCAACCACATTGATTGTCATATTACACTAATTAAACGTTGTAATTAATTGCAACGGTTGTGTGTTAAAACAAGTTTATTTTCCAATATGCATCAACCCACATTATTGGGTACTTGGCTAGTTATGGATGGACACGCATACGTTGAATTTATACAACAACTTCCGATCATTTGGAACCGTGAAGATTATAGATTTTGTGTGGTTTGCAGAGCTTATGGAACACATTCTGCTAGAAATTTGCTACTGGAACCACATGGGTTTGCCTGTTCAGAAAGCATCCATCATTGTTACAGATGTTACGGACGTGCCCCAACAAGAAGGGATGTTTGGAGAGTACGGTGTATTTATGCTGATTTTCATGGAGCAACTTGTTTCAGGTCGACCGATTGGTATATCGATGGCACCTGTTGTTGGTGCTACTCAGTTTCGCTATATCATGGCCATGATATATTATGGATCTTCTAAACATGCGATTTTTAGTTAGTCCGCGTGTTATGTTTTTAGTGACATTCAATGTGTACTGTTTCATGATGATTGGTTAACAAAATGTCCCTTAATTATTAAACATAAACAAACTAGCAAGGGAATAGTACATATTATATAAATTAATCATAATAAACAAGAAAATATAAAACTTATTACATAGATAAACTCATAAATAATGCATAAACTTACCACTTGATTAATTAATAATTATTAAATATAAACATCTGGAAAATCATTTGGAAATTTTGCTTTTTCTTGAATTACCCGGCCGTAATTTTTTTGTATGTTTTTGAGAATCTTTTTCATTTTAACCTCTTTTTGCTGGAATAGTGTATTGCATCTCGTACCCAAGTCCTTGCTGTTTTTATGTCGCGTTCATTGTCTTGAACAGACCTCATTTTAGACTAAATATCGGCTTGTAAGTTATCCAACCATTTTCTATCTTCTTCAACACCTTTAATCTCATTCTTGATCTCTTCTTCTTTTATTAACATTTGCAATCGCTTCTCTTGTGGCATCAACCACCATTTTTCTTGAGAGGTGGACATGATTGTATGTCTATGAGGATTATAGATTAACCACTAATATATGATTTGTAAATCTCAGACGCATACATTTATGTCTCTATATATAATAGATAAAATAACTATTTTTTTATAGGCTTTGACTACAATCAAATAACTTTTGACTACTATATTAGGTGTTGTCATATCGTACCAAGACATTATTCTAATTTGACTACATTCTTATAGGATTGGACCAGTGTCTACTAGCCATTGCCTACTACCTCATGTGTAGTCTTATCGTACAGTGAACATTCGATACATGATTGTTATTTGACTACTTTTTTTATAGGTTTTAACTAGTGTCTATTAGTGTTTGACTAATATTTTATTCGATTGACTATTTTTATAGGTTTTGACTACTATCTTATAGCCGTTGACTATTATCTAATGTCATATTTAATGTAAATTTGTTATCAATTCTGAAATCAACAAAACAATAAAAAAAAAATTGTAGTGTGAAAATGATAGAAAGATCAAAGGAGATGAAAAGGATCCTGGAAAAATTTAATTGGCCATCTACGTTCAAGAATAAGCCTCTGTTGGAGTCAAATTCCAATAACCTTTCAACCAATCCCCCTCCCCACGTCGATCTTCCTATATTAGGGGAGAAGATGGATCAGGAAGTGAATAAAGTGTTGTTACAAAGAGAAGCTGATGTGGATAAGGCTTTTGAAGATTATCGTTTCAAACGAAACTTTCTAGACAACTAATGGGATGATATTGACCATAAAATGAATTGGATTATAAGTACTAGGCAAGAAATCCAATCTGCTGACAGTTTGATCCACTCTAGTGAATAAATTTTTCGAAAGCTAAAGAGTGAATTAGAACTTCATGAGTACTATTTGGAGGGAAAAAAGGAAGTCGTTACTATGAAAAAAGAGTATCCTTACGAGTTCCCGATGTGGGAACAAGATGAGTAGTATTTTAATAATTTGCTTGTTTGTTGAATTAATTTTAAGGTAGAATATATATCTATCTATGTCTTTTATTTGTAATTGTTAGGTAATATATCTGTATGTTTTCTTTTTATTATTGGTTGGTTAGGGAAAAAAAATATGTAAGAGTATTTGTTTTACCTATGTTTAGTAATTTAATTATGTTAATGTCAAATATTTGTATTTGAATGAGTACTACTTTGTAAATTAGATACGTATGATGTGTTTAATGTCAAGTTATTGTTACAAGTCAAACGAAATCATATATATATATATATATATATATATATATATATATATATATATATATATATTACAACTTGTAAACAACATGTGTTCTACAGTTAAGCGGAATCAGAAAAAATTATATTACAACTTGTACAAAACAATATGAAAATGATAGCACAAGAAGTTACCATAGATGGAAACATAAACCATTACAAACAATAACATATACATTACATTTTACATTTTACAACTTGTAGACGACAATAGAAAACAAAAAAGAAAATCCAACTACAAAGTAACATTATCTTCAAGTGCAGTATTTTACTTTGAAGCTTCTTCTTCGATCGAGCTAAGTTAGAAATTATCAACGAATTATTGTCTTTTGCATCATCCACCCAACAAATAAACCCAGGCTGTGGTGGCTGATAAATAAATATCAAAAAAATTATGTATATTGTGTAAATGTTTACAAAAAAAATAAAATATAAATAATTATAGGACAACCCAAATACATATTTAGGAAAAGCGTAAAAGAACTGTGCAGTGTTGTGGGTAGTTCTTGAGGTCCTTATAATACCTTGAGCCCTACAATTGCAAATTGTCATTTCTTTGGTTTATGAGAAGTAATTTTTTTTTAGTGTTGACAGGTAAATATATCTTCAATTATATATTGCCATTAGACTACTATGTAATAGATATTGACTACTATCTACTAGCATTTGACTACTAGTTTATGTGTTGTCTTATCGTACAGTGAATTTCAGACACATGATTGTAATTTGAGTACTGTGTTATAGGTATTGACTACTATCTACTAGCATTTGACTACTAGTTTATGTGTTGTCTTATCGTACAGTGAATTTCAGACACATGATTGTAATTTGAGTACTGTGTTATAGGTATTGACTACTGTCTACTAGCATTTGACTACTAGTTTATGTGTTGTCTTATCGTACTGTGAATTTCAGACACATGATTGTAATTTAACTACTATTTTATAAGTATTGACTAATGTCTACTATCATTTGAATACTAGTTTTTGAGTTGTCTTATCGTACAGTGAATTTCAGATATATGATTGTAATTACCATTTATGCATTCCATTTGAAATGAAGTCCATTTATAGTGGACACCTTATTCATTGAACATACGAATACGCGAAATGAGTGGATTCAATGAGGTATACAAAAAAAGTTTTTCGAACCTACCAATATTATTTCATAATCTTGAAAGAAGAAATCGTAACTCTTTCAAAATCATTAAGAAATATATGAGAGATCGGTTTGAATTTTGTTTTGTTGCATTGGGATGCGTGGTATGTCCTTATCTATACTAAGTTATTATTTATTTCAAGTTCATATTTGCATAATGTTGGTATCGTTTCTTACAGATTACTACCGTTCTCACATCCATGATACCAACAATATTTGTTGGTCATCTACCCCTTATTGGGGCCAACATAACGACAATTGGTTGGTAATCATGAACCCCTGATCATAGCATTCGCTTTGGGAAGCATAGAATGTGATGAGGCTTGGATTGGGTTCATGACAAGGTTAAAAGAATGCTTAGGTGACACTATTGAAGTTGGTTTCATAAGCCATATGTCTGATTCCATAGATTACGCCATTCAGCGGGTATACCTAGATTCATATCATGGGCATTATTGTAAAAATATAGCCGCTAAAGTTAGGGTTTCCACAGGAAGTACCATTGTGGAACAATTGTTCTGGAAGACATGCAAAACTTATAATGTGTTTGAATTTTATGTTTTTTTGAACAAATTAACAAATAAGTTTAATGGAAATGATCTTCACTGGCTTGAAAATATTGCAATTGCAAAATGGGCTCGAGCCTTTTTTTTCCTAAAGTCCATTTCAATGTGAAATATATCAACATTCCTATTGGATTGAATTGGCTAACAACAAACATGCACGAGTTACCAATAACGTCAATCATTGAAGTGGTCCATTAGTTGATACAAATAATGTACGGCTATCGTACTGCATTCGAAGGTAATAAATATTTGTTATTTAACTTTTACCTTATTATACCCCCTATTTGATTGTAACTCAAATAATTTCACAGAAGTAATGCATGGTCATCTTACCCCTTATGCACAACACGTGCTTGAAAGAAGAATGAACCAGTCTAATGGTTATGAGGTTACACATATTGGTAGTGACAAATTTGAAGTGAGTTTAAATTTAACCATAGAAATGGTGCAAGTTGAACATGGTATTTGTACTTGCGGCAAATGGCAAAAATGCGGCATACCTTGTGAACATGGTATAGCATCTCCAAAAAGGCTTACAGTTGAAAAAATACAGCAATTGGTAAATTATAAGTTGACTTCTGCGGTGTATTGAAATGCATTCCAAGCTGAGGTGGTTAATCATTTTCCAGTTCTTCTGCATTGGGAAACACAAGTTGAAATATGGTCGTCTTACCACCATTTGCACATTAGTAATATGTTAAGTTTTCTTTATTATTAATGTTACGTTTATTTGTAATTCTAATTTCCTTTCAGTTTTTATGTTATCTTTATTATTAATGTTATGTTTATTTGTAATTCAAATATTGTTTTAGTTTTATGTTATGTTTATTAGTAATGTTATGTTCACTTGTAATTCTAATTTCCTTTAAGTTTTATGTTATGTTTATTAGTAAGGTTATGTTTATTTGTAATTCTAATTTCTTTTCAAATCCGGATATTTTCTGACGAACAACTAATCTACAAAGAACATAACCAATATATAAAACATGAAAATCAGGCTTAAAAACATACTTTTATGGTAAGCTAAAAATGACAACTTATGATATTTAATGTCGTTTTTAATAGCACGAAGCATACTTTGGAGGATAAAACCAATGATGTACCGATATCGGATTTGAAATCCGGATATTTTCCGACGAACAACTATGTAAAAACAACGAAACCAACATATAATACATGAAAATCACACTAAAAACATACTTTTATTGTAAGCTAAAAATGTCAACTTATGTTATTTTATGTCGTTTTTAACAGCACGAACAAATGGATTAGGTTATGGATTATGAAGGTAAACATGCTAGTTGTAAAAACTTTCTTCATGCTCACTATCAGAGAAACTCATTTCGAATTAGTTACAAGAGACAGTGACCAATTACTTAGTGTGCCTAAGGTTGTAGAGGTAAGGGGCTTACCACATGATTATAATCTGACTAATGTGTTACAGGCATTAACTACTGTCTACTAGAATTTGACTACTAGTTTATGTGTT